ATAAATTCCAATATCATTGTGTTGAAACATATGCATTTGTAGAACTGCCTATATTAGTCTTTGGGAGACTTCTTCATTTGCAATTTTCTTAAATTTGGTTTGTTTTTGAAATTATACAGGACTAATGAGTGTGTGTAAAAAAGCAGAAAAGAGAAGCACTCAATGCTTTTATAGAAATGACACAAACACCGTTAGTGGAGCGGTAAGTCTATGAACAAGAACTCTGGTCCTCTAAATTAAAGGTATTTAAGGGCCAGCGAGATAGCTCAAGGGCTTGCTTAGGGAAGCACCGGGACCAGGGTTCAATCTGTGATGTCATGCCCCCACACTCCCCAATCCCTCCTAGCTGAGCCTGAGATGGAGCCCAGGCATGGTGGCACATGCCTGTAATCATGAAAACAGGAAGATCACTAGGTGTCTGAGCTCCATAGTGAGACACTGAACAAAAAAATAAATAAAAATAAAAGAAAACAAAATAATATTTAAATTATGATACATTAATAATTGAATTTGGGGCTGGTGAGATGGCTTGGTAGCCTGAAGCACCTGCTCAGAGCAAGCTTAGTGGAGCACAGGGACCGAGGTTCAATCCCCCAGCACCACGTGCCAGCCAGCCCCGCCCCCTGGTGGGCTGAGCTGGCCACACACACACACACACGCACGCATAAATAAATAAAATTAAAAATAATAATAATAATAATTGAACTTAATTACATAACTATAAAGAACAGCAGACAATGTAAAATCTAAGCTAAAGGTTTGAGTCCAATAATTTGTATTTAGTTGGAATTTATATGGCTGAAAACATTGAAGCATGAACTAAGAAAAAATCGAAATAATTGTCCTAGATTTCCAAATGTATCAAAGCTTGTAATTAATTTAATACTTTTCTGGTTATGATATTAAGATTAAAAATAATAAATGTAACTAGTAAAAATATTGTGTGAGTTAGAAGGAAAAATAAAATCACTGTACTCTACATTACTTTTTCTTTCTTTCTTTTTTTCTTTTTTTCTTTTTTT